AGTTTATGTTGCCACCGTATTAATGTTTGCGTTAGTGGAACCTATCTATACCTTTTTACTTAGGTATAACTAGCTTCTGCCCGCGACTTCGTACGAGCAAACCTGTTTTCTCCCGTTCCCGTAGGATTTTCAGGATTTTTTCTGTCTTAAGAACCTTCTCCTATTAGTAACAAATACAACTAAAAAGAATTATGAAATCTGTCCAGCCATTCACGCGTGATGCCGTGACCAAGGGAAAAAGAGATTAATTTGTATAAATATACCTATATAGATATCAGTGATCACATACGTACTGAAATTAGAAAATATCCTTCGGTCGGTAGAAACTATGTGGTCTATCTGAGTCATTTGGGGCCGATATTTATATCCCCAAGTCCTGGGGATAGTTTTCATAATAATAAACTCATAAACTATTACTTTTTCCCATTGGCGTAAATAGAAACTAGGAACCCTACTTATATCCATCTAATTACGATTCCTTGCTCTGTTCCCGCTCCGCTTTCATATTCCCGAATCTATTTGGAAGTACAATAAGAATCTCTCCGATCAGCTAGGCTATTCTGAAAGATACGATCGTATTCTCGCCCGTCATTGGTCGAGATTATTCTCACAACCTATGACATGGCGGACCGCGATCGAGCTCACTTCGGGAGTTCGAATTGACATCTTATGAATAAATAGCCTAGCTGGTCGCTATGAACTAGATTAGCCTTTACTGCTGCTAACATCCATTTTATAAATATGTTGGTAAGTATATCTAGGTATCTTTTATGCCAGCTCTACACTCTCTCAAGACTCTCGCTAGTCGAGACGAGGTCGAGATACTTTATCGTCATTCTAAGAGTTGTCGTCTTTCTCGCATCATAAGACTGCAATGTACTTACGTCAACCTCGTGTCCGCTCGCACGAGAGTGTGGAGCCGGCATTGTAATACAACAAGGTACTTTCTTCACTACATAATCGATGTTCTTTATGTGGAGAACATTAAGAAACTCAACGAATTTTATGATGATAAAACTTTACAGACTCTGATGACGACTTTGGCGAGGACTATTATAATATGGTCCTCCCCGACATGGAGGAGGCGCTACAGAGTTTAGAAAATTTCATGACAACTGCTGAGACTAACAACAACGGACAAGCGTATGAGGCCGTGCTAGAAATACTGCACAGTATCGTCGAATATACAAGGAATTCCAATAACGCTTATAAATTCATTAAAGCTAAAGGAATAGATAGAGTCATTCCTCAATGCCTCAAGTCAAATAACGATCAAGTAAAATCTCGTACACTTATATTCATGAAAAGTCTATTCGATATAGCTCCGACTACTGTGTCCGCTTCTATGCCAATTGTGATAGTAGACTTAATACTAGATATATTCGAAAATGGTAATCTAGCTTTGAAAGCCCACGCCGTGGACGTATTGGCGTACTGGTTACCTGAGAACCCTCGAGTGCAGGCTCGAGTAATGAAAATTAAAGGCTTGGTGCCATTCTACGACCAAGTAGACAAATTAGATACACATGTTATTGCTTCTCTTGTCAATTTGTTCAACAAAATTCTAAAAGAACACATCCAAGTCAGAAGTGACTCACAGAAGCATCTTGTGGATAATGACAAGATGAAATTTTATTTGAGAATAGGTTTATTGGAATATATGTCAACTGACACTGTCTGTAATGGAATTCTAGACATCCTGATGAAGCTATGGTCTTTTAGTGCGAAGGAACAGGTTGTCATGGCGATTGCTTTTGATTTGATAAAGAATATCAAGCCGTACTGCTTGCAGACGTATCAGAACACTGACAGGGCTAAGAAACTGTTCAATGCCCTTTCTACATTTGTGAATGATAGAGATAATAAAGAGTTCTTTGATATGTATAATCTGAACATGACTGACGTTGCTTTGGTCATTGGAGAGTATATGGAGAAGCTCAAACCCGCTATTAAGGACGAAATGTAAGTTGTTTCGTTGCTTGCTTACAATATACATTCTTGAATTGATTTAGCAAAAGTCGTTTTATTTACGTGTGATATTGGTAATAACCGCGGTTTCAAACTCAGAATTTTTATTATACTAATCATAAGCTACCTATAAAAGTAATACATATATTCATATATAAGTAAACTTATACGTTAGATTACTATAACTAAAATAAAAAACCTCTGAAAATAAAATAGTTCCAATAAACATTTCGCCAACTAAAAAGTTGTATTTGAAAATATCGAGTCACTGGGGTGCTCTCCCCAATTCGATTTAAGGTCCAACCCCACGTGTGGTCCAACCGCAAGTACGATGGCACTTTTGCCACCATTGTACGATCCCTCGTATGTAGGGGACCGAAGCACGCGCAACAATGCCGTCCGGACTTGAAAGAGATATGTCCTTACGAATTGTTTGCACACAATTTATGGTCCGCCATGTTGATAGCATGTTTTATTTAATTCTTTTAATAGGTTTTCGTGACTTAATTCTAATATTTGTTATGTTGATTATGCGCTATATCACCACTTAGTTGCAGTTTGTGTGAAATATAAACCAAAATGGTCGTATTACATAATGATATTTAGCTACGAACGAACGACTGCAAAGAATTTATTAGGAAATTTACTTAAACCAGTCGTTTATGTATTTATTGTGCATTAAAAAGAAATAGCTTTTCGTTATGGATATCTATAGACCGAAATTGCAGCTCTCTCGATTTAATTAAATTTTCAAGGCAGATGCCTTACAAAAATATAATATTATTGTGTGAAATAATAGATATAATCCTTCTATCGTCCTACTCTCTACAATCTACATCATCTTGGTCTCAAACAATTGAATTATATCTATTATAACTTTCGCGAGTCATACTAAATTTATTGTGTTTTCGGCTTACGTAACTGTTTGACTACGAATTCTAGCACGGCTTGAAACTAGTCGAGTTCCTCGTCAAAAAGTTACGCGAGTAAGCCGAAAATTAATTGAATTTTTTATACATTTAGAACAAAATATCCTCTACGAAACGCAGACTATACTGACCACAATACCAACACTTTAATCAAAAATATGACCAACTTTCTTTCTTTCTTTCTAGGCTGGGCCATAGTTTGTTTACGACGACAATAACCAATGTAATTCAAACAATCCCACAAACCAACGATACATTCAACCAATACTACAATTAAATTATAGTAGGTAAAGTTTAATGCTATTACAATACATCTTCTATTCAAATTATAGGATGTATTTGAGGTAGGAATCTATTGAGAATATTCTCGATATAACAATGAATTGTTTGTGCAAGTTGTGCCATCATTACCGGTTACCACAATGACAAATCACGCTCCATGGGTGGCCGCCATTACAGATTGTTGCGCTTTCCCGCGCTTCCGTTTAGGCGGGAAGCTGACATTATTTTTTTATATTTATTTACCTGGTTTTTTAATGCATTTATTTTGTTTTGATAATATTTTTTATATTTTTGATATTTTTTATATTTTTTTTTACATTTTACATTTTTTGTTTAATAAAGAAAATGTTAAACTATAAATATTTTGTCTGTGCAAGGGTAACTTTATTTTTAATGCCAGACATTTTATGCTACGTAAAAATAATGCGTGGGAGTTTCAAAAAGGTGTTAGTGTGTTAGTGTCAAAAATTACATGTAGGTACAGGTCGACTAAACAAATACAAATAATCGGATCAAATCGATCATACTTTAAAAAAAGGTCGCTATTCACCGGCCGTCAAAATGTAGGTTCAACCTGACGTGCGCCGAATCGAATTTGTGCAAAAGTCAAGTACGCCGTGGGAATAACAAACTTATATTTTTTTGTAGTAAAAACTCATGAATGGACATTGTAGCGTAATGGACACGGTAAATAATCCTATTTGTATTGTTGGTACCATCTTTAGCGAATTGTAGGTGTAGTTAGTAGTGTAGGGTAGCCATGTTCCACGGCTATATTTTTTTTAATGATTAAATGAACAAAATAAATTATTTTTGGTATTTTGCAGGTTTTATCTTAAATGTGGTTTAAGAACCTGTTCTTGTTTTGTTAATGAGTATTCAACAGGGAAACATTGATTAACGAGTGAAACGATTAATTTAAAACGATAGTTTAAATAACGCTTGCTTCTTGCTCACACCATTAACTCTTCTCTGCATCACCCAAAGGTCAGACTGGGAGAAAATGCCTGCGACATTAAGTCGACCTTATGTACACTTTGTGCATGAAGCTTAAATAAATAAATTACGTTAAAAAAAACGACTTGAACTCTTTATTCGTCCAAGTCGGTTAAATAATAAAGTACTAAAACCTTCTCCGGCGTGTAAGAAACAATCTTCTGAAAAACACATCAAAATCGGCTCAGTTAATCGGGAGATAATTGCGCACAAACTTACGAACATACACACATACATACATGTCAATGAGATGAGAGAGAATGTCATGAGAAACACCTTTTTTTAAAGTCGGTTAAAAATTGAATGTGTTGTATAATACAGCAGCTATCTAGTGCTGTCAATCAACGACAGCAGTCACCCGGGCAGGCAAGAACAAGGTGCATCATAAAACAACAGTGCGATATAGCAGCTCGAAGTTCGGTGAGTAAATTTTATTGATAACTAGCTGAACCCTCAACTACATCTGCGTTTTTCTAAAATTCATATATACTCCTTAGTACATCAGCTATCTTCCCATAAAAGTCCCGTCAAAATCCGCCCGGCCATTTCAGAGATTAGCCAGTACGAACAGACAAACAGACAAAAATAGAAAAAAAGTGTTATTTTGGTATAAGTAACGAATGTATTGTGAAAAAGCTGTTTTTTTTTTCAATATTACAAACAGACACTCTAATTTCATCTATCTGTATAGATTTAAATAAAAAGATACGAAAGATTTGTCAATAATTTACATTAACTACGTTATCTAAGATGTCGTTTTGAAAGACATAAGTTTTGAGACTATTTTATATTGGAAATGTGTACCCTCGGCACGTGTTAATTTATATTCGCTAAAATTTTAATAGGCCTCAAAATTTAGACTACGAAAATTGGGTACGTCATGCCTATCTCCCGTTGAGGTAGGCAGAGACAATGGAACACCACCACAGATGGGGCCCAATAGGGCTGATGCCGATAATTATGGAGCCATGGAACTCCGGCTCGAAGTGCAAGAGTAGGAACGGGGTGGTTTTTAGTTAGTAAGAGTCTGACACTCTTTCCCGCCTCACCCAGGCGGGAGTAATTCGATGATTTTCCCCCTTAAAAAAAACTATTATAGTTTTGTTGGACATTACGCTAAATTATAAGTAAGTACCTGTACCTTTTCATGAAATAAACAAATAATATCAAATTAACGAATGCAACTAATTAAACTGTCAAACACCAAGCGGTTACCGGTGACCGCAACCTATTGTTCTATAATTGTGTCTACAAAACCGGTACTCGACGAGTTAATTGATCATTCAAATAATGTTTTCATTTGAAAAATCAGTTAAAAAAATGTCTTCTTTAAGTTTAAGGACTATCCTAACGTTTCCAAATATCATGGTGAACTCGTCCATTGAGCTGCTACTTACACCAGGTAGCAAATAGCCATTCTAAAAAATGTATTCTATAGGCGTGACGATCTTGCGACCCACCTGACTTAAGTTCCCATGGACCATCCTTTTGTCAGTTCATAATTTATTGCACTAACTTAAACAAGTCAATTATGCGTTGGAAATATCTCTTAAATGTAATAGTGATTTGAAGTAAACTTATGTGAGACTGTTAATGTAGAATTACCTACTATACGGATTTTGATTGTACTTTGTGGGAAGCATAGGTCTTGATTGGGGTTAACACGTCTAGGACTACGCTTAACTGCGTCTTTTATTTCTTGAAGCCTTTGAAGGAGTACCAAGACACACAATGTCATACAATGTCACGACCCATTTGTCATCAGTTATGTTTTGAAACCTCTGTTTTTAAAGTCTCTAAGAAAACGGTGTCACACAGTTAGGTAACCATAATAAATTAAAACGCTTAAATATTTTGCAGAACTTAATCGGCAACTCCCTCATTTGTCAAATAAAACTCACGATGCATAACAAAAACGATTCATTCACAAACAAAAAATGTTTACATAGATTCCATCATTAATTCCCTTCTGTCGTGGAAGTTTCATTCAGGCTGTATCAAATGCCACCTGTGCCTAAAAAAATCAAATTCGATTTTTTATCCTTGCAACACTCGCTGGCCATAGCCGCTCAATAAATTATCTATTCAGTGAATTTGTACGATTTGTAGGCGGGTTGTTATAAATAACTTTGGATTTTGGATCCTCTGTTTGTCGAAAGAATTAAAAAGATTATGTTCTACGGTTAAAAAGAGGGGTCACACCTACTAGCGATATTGACCAGTTTTTTGGACGTGGGAATTCGTGCTGGCTGCATTAACAACAAAAGATCGCGAAATATTTACACGGGATCGCTATAATCTTCAAAGGATTATTAATTTGGATATTTTGATTCTCTATTATGTTTTTTTATACCTGCCTTTAAGAAACTGGGTTTTATCTTATGTATTTTGTGTCAGCTGTTCGTAGGAGTTGATTCCTGCTTGAACTATTGGTTTGTTAGGTAGTGTTCATCTGGACCTTTTTAAAAGACTGAAGAACTTATGACTTCTCTTTTATCTAAATACGCTGCAGTGTACCTTAATGAACATGGACCATGAACAGCCTAGTTCATTGCAATATTTTTTTAATTTTTCGCAGAGCTTCGCAAGTATTTGGCCAGTCACAGCCGCATCAAACACATCATTCTACATCTAAAGCAAAAATCTTTTTCATTATAAAACTTCTTTCAACTCTTATTACCAATAAATGCTCCAATTATAATAACGGAAGTCAGATTTCAACAATAGAACTCACGCGGTGCGCAATGACAACACCTCATTCATCCAAATTACAATGTTACCAGTGTAAAATATCTCAATTTCTTGCGAAGCGTCGTGCTGAGTGAACGGACATCCGAATTGTGATTTTAAATTATATTAATGGTTATTATTTGGGGCAAATGTAGGTAACTAGATAGAACGTGGGAAACTGGCTAATTTGTTGTTATTTGCCATGGTGACGTAATATGGGTATTTCTTAATTTATTACTTATCGTATATGTATCTTAAGAATAAGTAATGTCATTACTGTTCAAACAAGGTTTATTAAGAGCAATGTTTAGTTGTTTATTTGAACTTTTCATCATCAGTTCGGTTCCGTTTACTGCTGAATCTATATATAGGCCTATGTCTATACCAGTGTAAGGTGGTGCATCGAACAATTTTATTGTTTGAAGTTACATTTAATACTCTCCTCAAAACATTAGATACAATCGGATATGTATTGATTACCTACTAAGATCTAGTAATGGACATACATACACACTATACAAGTGCATGTTACTGAGTTGGATTGTCAGCTCTTCGTATCCAGGGAGGGAACGAACCTCCTGACGCCATAGCCGTCGCGAGAGACACTCCGGCCACCGTAAGCACTGGCCTGCGGACGGCGAGCACTGATAACTCGCCGCCGCCGCTCCGTCCGACTAGAACCAGACCCGAACGTACGGCGCGCCGCGGTCCGCACGCGCCTTAAGGACTCGTCACAAATTGGGCCCAATAGGGCTGATGCCGAAACGGAGCCGCAGACAGCTTAACGGGAAACCGGGGCTCCGGCCGGCTCCAAGTGCAGGAGTAGGAACGGGGTGGTTTTTAGTCAGTAAGAGTCTGACACTCCCTTTCGCCTCACCCGGGTGGGAGAAGTCATTCGATGTATTCTCCCATAAAAAAACACCTATCGGCCACCTGGCAGATACCGTAACATCTTCCTACTGTGTATTCACTTTTATTAGTTCTTGTGTAGTAAAGTAGGTTACATAAAGCGCCAGACATATCCAAAATTATACTTAAATAAAACATGGAATATAATGTTTGCACTTTGCACCCAAAACTTAGATATTTCTAAACAACTCGCCGTAATATTATGTTAGACTCGGACTTAACTCATTGATTGAATAGAGTGATCAATCATGTAAGTAAGTAGAGCAACCCTTTATTTACACCTTAACTTAAATAGGATGCCAAATTGAGATGGATTGCATTATAGTACGAGTTCAAATAGGTTAGGTCACTATCATTCGTAACTGTTTAAATTAAGCGAAGTTTAACTTTGATAATTTTGATCTGATAGCTCGCCTCCAAATCAAAATCAGACCCGAGCGTGCGGCGCGTCGCGTTCCGCGCGCGCCTCAAGAAGCCAACAGACCACGGATGGAGCCCAACAGGGCTGATGCCGATACGGAGCCGCAGAGGGCTTAACGAGTTACCCGTTCCGGCTCGAAGGGCAGGAGTAGGAACGGGGTGGCTTTTAGTCAGTAAGAGCATCATCATCATCATGACACAGTGGAGTGTCAATGACACTCCCTCCCGCCTCACCCAGGCGGAAGAAGTCATTCGATGATTTTCGCCCGAATACTGAAAGACTTTTAAGTTGTACTTAAAATATCGTGCTATCTCTGTCATTTACAAAGAATATGTAGGGACAGAAAATATAAACTATAAATACGAATTAATCTATTAAAAAAAAGGCAAGGGGTCTCTCGGGTTCGATTCCCGGGTCGGGCAAAGTATTACTGGGTCGGGCAAGTACACCTTTAGTATATATGACCCTGGTGATCTGTGACGTCGTATTTACTATACCTCTAGTTATTTGTAAATTGTAACTAAAGAAGCACTTCTAAATCTTTACAATGTATAAAACCTTCTCGAAGCGTAGGTGTTGCAATTAAATCTTCATTGAGTATTTCTCAAAAATCTTTTATACGTCCAAGTGTGCGTATTTTTTTACAAACTTTTCATTTCTTTGACGTAAAAGTCAAAATATTTTGAGAATAACAAATTGTACTATTCGTTTTCCTTTCTTGTATTCAAACAACCGGAAGTCCGCACTCCTCGATTTTTTTATTTGCGCAACTTTTTTTTCTTTGATATCGATTTCAATTCGTAGGAATGATGTATCGATTTTATAATACTTTTAAGTTTAAAGGCGATTCGTAATTCTTTTGATATGGTCTTTGTGATTACGAGGCTCGTTGTGATTTTGAAATAGCCTTAATGTAATGTCCGAATGCTTTTGATATTATATTTTTTTTGGTACTTTATTGTAGCTTCTACGAATACTCAGATCAATAAGATTGGAGAATGAATATCTTATTTATGGAATTGCAAAATGGCTCTTATCTCGTATATTTTCACAAACAACATTAGACTGCCTATCGTAGACTGAGCGTTCGCAAGTGCGACTGCTGGACAAATTCCCTTGTGTGTTTCTTTTTTCTTAAATTCAGTACGGAGTCTGGAAATGTGCCCGGTATATGGCAATAGACTCACCCCCTATTACATGGGACTTATAACATGAATAGTGAAAAGTGGGTGTTACATTGTACAATGGCATTAAGTGCCGTAATGTGCACTTAATGCCATTGCCACTTGCCAATCACGTGGACACGAGATATGTGTTAGGCCCTTTTATACTATACTAGCTTTTGGTAGCAATACTAGATGGAACGCAGTACCTACCTAATACGTCAATACTTCGGGGCTATTGTATGAGACGGGAATACTTCTACGATCAGTCTGTCCGTCAGTGAAGCTTCGCGCTCGTTCCAAAATGTAGATTCGAGTGAAAAAGAACGAGCAAGAAACTCCATAAAGTGTCTCATTGCACCGCGCCGGTTGTAAGCTTTGTTGCTAGTACCGATAAAAGTGAAATATATTCCTACTTAAGGGAGGGAGGGGGGTGACAATAAATACAATTAATTTCCTACAAAATTAGCTCTGAGGTCCATAGTCCGAAAGTGGCTAGTTTCTGAGATATTTAACATTTTTGGTTTTGTTAAAAATATCTAAAAAACTACAAAAAAATATCAATAAATAAAAAACCGCCGTCGTCGTCGGGTCGTCGAGTTACAAATCACACTGTACACTTCCTATGTATTGGGGTATAACAATCACTAGGTAGTATAAAAAATCCATCGATACTACATACTTAAACTGTCAAACACCAAGCGGTCACCGGTGACCGCAACCTATTGTTCTATAATTGTGTCTACAAAACCAGTACTCGACGAGTTAAATAAGAGGTTATTAAATTTATTCCATTTTCCAACACCAACCAACACAAACCCATGTATATTTGGCTAGACGTATAGATGAATATTTAATGCTTTGTTGATGTTGATGTCTTCTATCTTATGTGTTGGCTATGAACGTAGTGTTTCACTTCAAGTTGGTGTAAAAACCGCTAAAGAGTGCAATTTTGTGTTCTCTGAAGAGTAATAGGGAACCTGGATGTCCTTAAGTGCTTCATTGTTGGACGCATTATCGCTAACCAACATGCGTATCATCAGGAGTAGGAGAAGTTTGTCGCGCAAAATTTGCAATATTGCCGGCCACTGTGTTACATTACAACCACATGTCGCAGAAGAATATCCCCTAGAAGGAAGAATCCTAAAGAAAACTTGCACAATTATTCGTTTTTGTTAGGTAAAATTTGGGTAAAAGAAAATGACTTAGTTCCATTGAATTCGAAAAATATATGTTTATTTCTTTATCTTAAACTTATTATTATAATTCACAACCTTTTTATAATAATATTATACCTAGTATAACATGTATTTTGAGCGACTTTTTAAATATAAACGGCCATAATTGCTTATTCCAAAAATGTATTTTTAGTAAGTGCCATATTCTGATACAATACAATTAATAATAAACTATTATACGATACTCTTTCACATTGCATTCAAACTTACCTATCTACTATATTATTTACAAAATTGACTTTAATAAATTCATTTTCTGTTCAATCTTAAGCAAGTTAACAAAGAACTATTTGAGAATCTAAACCTAGAAAATTCATTTAGATCATATACGTTCTTAGGACCTATGTAGTTGTTACTTGGCATATAAATAAAATATGACGTGGTTTAATACATAGGCGATGCTGTAGTGGAAGCTCTAGTACCCGTATAAGTATGGGAAGCCAGCCACATGTGGCATTGCCGACAAAGGCACGAACACAGGCATCATTCTCTCAGCCTGGATAAAGTGAGTCCGTGTATGTTTCTTCAAATGATCTCTCCTACCAAACTTCTTCCCGCACGTAGAACACGGATAAGGCCGGACACCAGAATGAATCCTCTTATGCCTCGTCAACTCCTCGTTCCTCGTAAACGTCTTCCCACAGTTCTTCTCATCACATTTGTAAGGTCTCTCGCCAGTGTGAATCCTTATGTGGCCCTTTAATTGACCGTTGTTAGAAAAGCCAACGTGACAATGCGGGCATTTATACTTCTTTGGTCTCTGCTTTTTAGCGTTGATCTTAGCTTCGTTTTCTTGGTGTAGGATTCTTGCGTATTCCAGCTCCATCGCGTAACCTTGTGCCAGGGATTCCAGGAGTAGCGGGTCCGTCGGAGGCACGCCCAGTGCGTGCGCTATGTCCGCCGTCGGTAAGTACTCCTGCATGAACGACGGACTGTATGCTGACATCTGTGGCAACGGATAAGGTTGAGGTTTTATGTCGATCTCCGTCGGCCTTTCAACTTTTTCTTTCTTTTCTAAAGGAGGTTCTGGTAGAAGTCGGTCGCAGCACAATGTTAATTTTTCAACAGGTGAATTTACATCAGTTATAGGTGCAGCCTTTATGTCTTCATCACCATCTCTAGTGGTAGTCGAGACGGTGGCGTCTTGATGACTCGTATCAGATTTTCTAAAGGTGCCGCGAATTTTCCGCAGTCGACTTTCCCTTTTTGCTTCGTCCATTTTTCTTTTTGTTGTCTTATTTTCTACGTCGCCAGAAATATCACAACGTGACTGTCCATCCTTCTTACTATCACTCACGTCCCAAGGCCTGAAGAGCCTCGAGTAACTTTGTTCAGAAAACATATTGGAGCACTTGTATCACCCACGATCGAAATGGAACTGAGACCCTTTTCATTTCAACAACTTTTATATACATTCCTTTGACAATAAATTTAATAAAAGCGCCCAGAAGTAGAGGGATTGTAACTATTGAATGGATGAAAGAGACGAAATATTTTTCAATTGTTGCACACTTGATTTTTTGTAATGGTCGGGCTCTCCCAATCGGGGCATTTTGGGTCTTATGGTGCCCAATTTAAAGATGTTTTATAAGTTCGTGTTGTGTTGGTGGTTAGTTCGTTTTCGGTGTTGGATGTGTCATTGTGTCTAAGATAGGGGTGTGTATTGTTATTTATGTTGATTTTTGTGCGTGCTCGGGGGGCGGGCCCGGGGGCCGAGCGTCACGCTCGAGTGGCCGTGGCTCGCAGCTGCAATCCTGTTTGTTTTAATGGTTTCTGCAATTGTTGCGGTTCCCACTTCACATTAATGTTATATACGCACGCATGTGTTATGTAGATATGCCAGTTGTCTGGCTAGGGATATTGTCACCGGTTTATGGGAGACTTAACAATTTCTATTTTATTGTAAGTACTGTTGGGAATGTTTAATTATTTCATTACACTACAGTAAATTCGTAAGGTTATGAGGATACAATAAAACAGACAACTGTGGATAGTACAGTTTTCTATTTTCGACCCAACAAGTAACCGATTTAGGTAAAACTTTTATAACTTTATTCACGATTAAAAAATGCAAATTACAAAAATATATCTTAAACCTTATTTCTAATGTTTAGAGAATACTTTTGTATGACCAAATTTAGGGGATGGATATCAACGGGTTAAGTAAATAAATTTGATCTCATAAAGTTAGATGCCTGCACTAGGACAATCAAGTACCGCAGGCGAAGGTGGATATCTATAAATTATAAGTACCTAGTTAAACCTAAAACTAAAATGAATGTAAGTCTAGATGTTTTATGCACGGGAACAATATTTTGACTTGATACTGGCAACATGCTAAGTCCTACGCGACACATGAAGTTTAACAAAATGTTAGAATAATATATTTTCGAATAGAGATTATGTTTTCGGCCTTCTCCCGTAACTGTTTGACGAGGAACTCATCATTAGGAGCGCGACAGTCGCCGCGTCGCGTGTCGCGGAATGCTGCTCATGAACATAAGCCTCTAGCATGTTTTCAAATTAGTCGAGTTCCTCATTAAACTCTTACGTGTGTAAGCCGCAAACATAATAATTAATTTAGTATATCTCACGAAAGTTATAATACAAAAATCATATTTATGACATTAACAATGAAGATTTTTTATGAGATAAAAACCATCCAATGGCTTTTCCCATCTTGGGTTAGGCGAAAGGGAGTGTCAGATTCTTATTGTCTAAAAACCAACCCGTTCCTACTCCCGGCAGCCCATTAGGCCTACTGCGGCTCCGCATCAGGCTTCAGCCCTACTGGGCCCCATCTGAGATAGTCTGATGGCTCTTTAAGGCGCGTGTGGGGCGCGACGCGCCGTTCAAACGGGTCTGGTTTCTAGTCTAGCGCTAGTTTTATTAGATTAGAGACAAGTTGAGTGCATTTAAAAAAGTGCTAAACATTCTAATAGGCATAAATGCTTAATAAAATTGTACCTATAACTATAATAACAATTAAGAAAAACTTAACTTATCGGGACCATCACGCAATCAGCTAAAAATAAGCAAAACTATCAGTTTCCTGGATTCGTCATAAAAAGCTTACTACTAACTGTCCGCGACCACAAAATGGATGGGTCAGATCAATCTAAACAAATCAAGTTACATCAATTCATGTACAATAGACATGATTACAACGCTTTTGATACATTTTGGGAAGATATCCGAACTTATTTAGAAAATGGCGCGATCTGTCAAAATTGGCGCGCGAATGATCGATCTGCCGCGTTCTCGTTTTTATTAAATTGTACAAAATTGTTGTTTTTGTAAAAAATACTGTTTGTACTTACATGTCCCAATGCTTTTTTATTTTGATAGTCGTTACGAAACCATGAGAATTTTTACTGAACACAGGTGTTTAATATGTAGAACGGACTTTTTGAAAGAGACAATTAAGATGTGTCTACTGATTTTTTTGAAATCTACATACTTAAACCTAGAATCGTACCCAGTGTACTTATAAAATAACTGGCAAAAAGTAAACGTAAATCGTTAAATATCCTATGTAGGTAGAATTTCCATTTCTTTGAAATTACATATGTGGACTTAATATTGTAATATACTTTCAGATAAACTGATTTCATCTCATATTTATGAATATACGGTTATAAACGAACATCTAGCCAGTAGCCACTTGCCTACATTGATACAATAGACCGATAGACACGAGTCTAGGTATCAGTATTAAGTAATTGAAGTAATCCTGACTATGATATGTTATAGAAAAACACATCCAGTGACCAAATACCACTTTTTTATTGAGGCGGGAAAATCATCCAATGACTTCTCCCGCCCGGGTGAGGCGAGAGAGAATGTCAGACTCTTACTAATTAAAAACCACTCCGTTCCTACTCCTGCACGTCGAGCCGGAGCCCCGGCAACCCGTTAAGTCCTCCGCGGCTCCGTATCGGCATCAGCCCTATTGGGTCCCATCTGTAGTGGTCTGATGGCTCCATTATAACTTTAAATTAACGTTTTATTCTTTTTTAAGTTCACTTTTCTTGTACAATATCTTATGATGAAGTCCATAGTCCGTTACATTATCTTCTATTACAAAAGGACTCGATTCGTCAAGTTTATGACAAGTAATCGAATTGCTTGATATCAAAGAGAAGTTCAGTTATTTTGGCGTTTTGTTACATCCCGCCTTGAGACGTGGCATGCGTGATCGATGTGGCGTTTCGCCTCAAATTCTGTGTCTCTTGTAGTGGGCAAGATTGTGAAGAATGAAGTAAAAACTTGTTTTTTTTTTAAAGTAGTACTAGTACTAGTTAGTAGTAGGTACCTAGATTTATTTGAATTTTGCTTCAGCCACGTGTACACCTTGTGTTAGATGTAGCTGTAACAACTTTTCCTCGTCAGGTAAATAAAACAGCTGCTATAGTGATTAGAAGGTATAATAAAATATAAAGATATACGATCAAGTGGGTTCTTTAATATTCACTAAGACCAACACGTGAAAAGTCCATCAATCAATACCACTGCCCTGATAGATCGGCGAATGCTTTGTCGGCCACTAGGGTAGTCCGGTGGTCGTCGTAGCGTAGATGGTAAGTTGTTGTAGGGTAGTCCAAATAATATCAGCGAAGTCCGGCACCGGAGCGGTGAACCCTGGAATAGTGTAAACCTTCCACTTTAACACTATCCTCAATATTACATGACTGCCACACCCCTATGTGCATCCTACAAAAGCGGCGTGATACTACGAGGCACAGGTGGTAAGGATTACATAAAATAGTGATCAATGATGAGGCAGTCAATGTACATAAAAGCAGCAGAAAGATAGCCAGTATAAAAATATATGACACTACAAGCTACTAATTGAACAAACACTAATTTATAGCAAGGTAGTTTAATGAGAAAATGAGCCCAACGCATATTTATAAGATTTACAATTGTACTGAGATAGCCTTACTTAATAGATATAATTTTGCAACACTTACCCGATTCGGGGTGAAAACGATACAATCAATTTTTATAAACTTCAACAGCCGCGCAAGTACTAGATATATGTTTCGATGGATAATACTATGAAGTAATTCTATATTGAATAATCTTGACTCAATATACCTCTAGTAAACGTAGGTAGAAGAAAATAATATTTAAGTAACGCGGCACGTCCGACCTCAGTGTCGTCCAGTTAGCTCTGCCACAGTTAAAATTCTACCGCGCGCGCTGCCTATCGATCCCTCCACGCGATCGCGTCGTGAACTGCTAAACATACTGTGCCTCCCGAGTTTGCTTATGAATTAATATTTAATTGGTTTTAGTTCATATTAATATTTTTAATTTGTACAATAATGTAAATAGTAACTAGCGTTAACTTTAGGAATTAAGTACTTATTTATTTTAGTATTATTTTGAAGTTTGTTTCGAACCTGAAGTGAAGAAATCGTTACATACCCCCTCTTTTAGGTAAGGATTTTTCCTAATAAAATCCTCTAAAAATAAAACTATGTCAGCTTAAAATCTTTTACATGCCAGGTACCTAAATTATTGCCTTCCATATCCTCAAGATCATAGACAAGTTTAGATTTTTTTTGGACGATACGACATTTAATGAACTTCGGGGCTAGTTTCTTTGAAAATCTATTATCTTTGTCGCTTTGGTAAAACGTTCGCTTCCAAACTATATCCCCCACATTGAATTCAACGTTTTTCCGACGAAGATTGTAATTTGTGCCAAACCTAGAATGCGCTTTAATGAGTGCGGCTTGGACTTTATCAAATATTTTACTTAGATAGCCACAGTTTTCAGCATATGCATCACGAGGTGCAAAAATGATGTGATCTTCTATGTCAGAGTCTATGTAATGCGATCCGCAGCTAACTAATTCGCGACCGAAAACCAAAAATGAAGGTGTGTAGCCTGTCACTTCGTTAACTGCACTGTTTAAAGCAAACTGAATTTTTGGCATATAAGTGTCCCAAGATCTATGATCGTTTTCTATAAAGGAGGACACAGCAGTAATAATTGTTTTGTTATACCGTTCTACTGTGTTAACCTGGGGCGTATAAAGTGGAGTATAATAGACGTTAGGAATATGGTAATTAACGAATAAGCTTTTCATCGTATTACTTATAAATTGTCTGCCATTATCCATTAGTATTGTACTAGGTATTCCATGTATAAGGAATACTTTCTCTTCTAAGATTTTAGAGATGATATCAGCTGTAGCACGTCGTATAGAAAACAATAGACAATACTTGGAGAAGCAACAGACAACAACTAGCAAAAACATATTTTGATTCCTGGTTACAGGTAAGGGTCCGACAAGGTCCACACTTACCATTTGGAATGGTCGAGAACAGTCTTTAGGCCGACCC